GAAGGAGGTAAAACTGCACACTTTGTAAACAGAAACGAAACCCCACTCTGCAATATAACCAAATAAAGTAATATGGCATAAGTACTCCGCAAAACGCAATTATTTGTTTGGGATGAGAGTGCTATGGCTCATACAGGGGGCTTTGAAGCTCTAAATAGATCTTTACAAGATATTAGGAATAACAATTGTCACATCGGAGGAGTCACTGTATTGTTAGCAGGTGATTTTCGGCAGACTTTACAAGTAGTAACCCAGAGGAACGCGAGCGGATGAAGTTAAAGCGTGCGTGAAGCGGTCTCATTTGTGGACTTCAGAGACAAAACTGAGCCTTACCAAAAATATGAGAGTCCATCTTAGGGGAGATGCTATTGGCGGACAGTTCTCAGACCTATTGCTTAAAATAGGAAATGGTGATTTCCCGGTACTGGATAATAATATAATTCTCCCTACAGAGATAGGTACAATTGTTTCCACTGTAGAAGAGCTTACAGCGGAAATTTAACAACACATTATTAATATTCACGATAAACCTGCGGGATGGTAATGCGAGCGTGCATTCCTGACACCAAAAAACGAATAAGCCTCAGTCATAAATGAAATACTTTTGAGGTCATTCGAAGGGGTCGAATTCGTCGACTCAGTGGTAAACACCGATGATGCCATTCATTATCTGGTCGAGGTACTGAACACCCTAAAGCCTCTAGGTCTCCCAACTCACATATAAAAATTGAGAGTTGGCGCGCCAGTTACGTTACTGCGCAATATAAGTCCACCAAAATTATGCAATGCAATCGAGGCAACTATACTGACAGGTTGTTCTCGAGGATATTTATTCCTAGGATTCCCCTAACACCATCAAATTACCCCTTCGAATTCAAGAGAGTGCAGTTTCCTATCAAAGTCTGTTTCGCCATAACCATAAACAAAGCTCAAGGTCAAACTATAAGGTAGCGGGAGCAGATTTGAGAGAAAGCTTCTTCTCCCAGGGTCAGTTGTTTGTGGCATGCACCATAGTAAGCGCATAGAGAAAAAATATTGTTTACAAAGAAATACTGCGGTAGGTGTAGTATTTAGATTTCGTTGTAAAAAGATAATACACCCGTGTTACTTTCACCATATCAAAGGCCGCGCTTCGTGTTCATAAAATATGACAAAATTTTATATTATTTTCACGTTTATTAACTATTTAAATCTCTACACTATATTAAATATTGTTATATTTTATAAGTATTCAAACATTTTACACATAATTATTTATATGTTATAACAAAATTAATAACGTAAAAATCAATGAAAAATCCTATTAGAACCATTTTCTTTTCCACATATAACTGATAAAGAACAAAAAATGCTGTTTATACCTTATAGTAAGGTAATGGAGGTCTTGGACCCGATAATTCTCAGAATATTACCATCATCTACACCCGACCTCAATAATCATCCAGCAGCCTTGCTATTAATATTTATCGTATATCTATTATCGTCACTGAGGTGCCAGCGATACGTGTTGCCAGCAACGCTTTCAACAGTTCGTTGCAGTGAAAATTTTAGAGCACCTAATTATTAAACTTAGCACCTATATACTTTTTAAAACCAGCTTCCAAAAAAGGCTCTAATTTTGGCTTTTTTTAAATGTAAATTCCTGACTGCGTTGGTGGCCAAACAGTTCTACAACATAATGCCTAGTTGCTTTTATCTGCTGCAGATATCATCTCATGGTGAGTGTAGAGAAACAGAAACTCTTTTTACTAGAAACAAGTCTTTCCATCCCGGTCCTCAGGGGCGACAACGAAACTGCATTTTGATTCTTAATCGAGGATACGAGGGAGAAACTAAGTTCTTAGAAAATAAAAAACTGAACAAACCAGCAAGTTATTAGTTTATTATATCTTTTCAAAATAGTGTCCATTTACATTAATACATCGTTGTATCCGATGGAACCACTGAGAACAGCACTTTGCCCACTCATCCTCAGGGGTCTCTTCGATGGCATTTTGAAACGCAGCCACTGCTTCCTCGGCGTCCGTAAAACGTTTTCCTCGAAGTTTTTCTTTTATTTTCGGAAATAAATAAAAATCGTAAGATCAGGGCTATAAGGCGGATGACCCAATAATTCTACGTCTGACGTCACCAAGCAGTCGATTGCTTGCTTTGCGGTGTGCGACGAGGCGTTGTCGTGCTGAAGGAAAATGCTACTGCGAGGTCGTTTCTCCCGAATTTTTTCCAAGAAAAGTGGCAAACAATTGTTAGTGTACCACTCTACGGTAACTATTTTTCGATCTTCTAAAACAATTGTTGCGTAATGACCTGTCCTTCCGAAGAACGAGGCCACCATCTTTTTCCCACGCTTCGACCTCTCTTCACTTTAGATGGCAACTCCTCGGAAAGAAACACCCAGACAGCAGCAGACTTTCTCGTAATTTTAGGATCATAATAGTAATTCCAGCTTTCGTCACCCGTAAGTAACTCCTCCGTTTAATCTTTGAACCATTTCACGACACCAATCAACACGACGGATTTTTTGGGCCTCTGTCAAATTATGAGGTATCCATCGGGCACAAAGCTTCCTGACCGCTAAATGTTCATGGAGGATTTTGTGCACTTGACTCATACCACAATTGCTTGTCCGAATCTGCTGATAAGTCACTCTTTTGTCAGTATATCATACGCCGCACAACACTGATGTTATGGGATTAGTGCGACCACGTTTAAACTTATTAAACCAATTGTAAACAGAGGCACGAGATAGGGCTTTATCGTGAAAGGCCAATCGAAGTCTATCATAACTTTCTTGTTAACTTAAATGACATCGAAAGTCATTAAAAAATTGTACAAAAATTTTGTCGCGTTAAATTCATGCTGACGTGACACAGACAATTTTCAATTTGCCGCCAAATCGTAAACCAATGACAAATTAATAAAATACATACACAATAATATTGGCAAAGGGTGCGTTTGGCAGAAAAAAGCGCTAGCAAGCGCTTACAAGCGCTAAAATAGTTTTCAGCCAGGACACGATTGCTACTTCAGTAGCGCTGACACAATCCGCTATTTTGCTTATTTAATTTGTTTGTTTTGAAGTAGAAATTATAAGTCGTTCTGTGCAATGTTAGTTTTAAGTAATATAATGACATGAATAGACATATACGTTATTAAAAATTCATGATTGGTAAGTTTTTAATATGAATACTTTACAAACATATATTTAAATTAGGTTAGGTTCCCCGGTTGAAACTTACATCGTGTCCTGGAGGAAAATAGCTACTTACGATTTGATAGCGCTTACCGTTTACGATCGCCATTTTGCTTACAAGCGCTTGCTAGCGCTTTTTTCTGCCGAACGCACCCAAAGAGTTCCATTTTCAAAATTTGAACTTATTTTTTTATTATATTAAGTGGCCAGTTCTAAAAACTTTCAGTGACACCCTCGCAGATATAGGACAGTATATTCTTTTGTCGAGCTTGTACTATGTTTAAAGAAACACTAATTTTTACGCGTGGAGTACTTAAAAGTAAATACGTATTTTATTATTATTATTATTGTCACGTACCCGTATCAACTCTGTCAAGCCCAAAGACCCTGAATTAATTCTTTTGAAACTTTTGTCGTTATTTACTGCCAAATTTTGGAGGAAAATAATTAAACGTAACAAAATTGTATCTTTTATATTGTATACAACCTTTAAAATATATTATTATTTAAAAAACTTCAAAACATTAACAAATAAACATTGACATTTATAATGGTTGATTAGCGATTACTCATATTATATAAGAAGTTATTCATTTTTTCTGTAACCGTCTCATTCTATTGGCATAAGAATTGGCATGAAGATATTTTAAGTAACAAACTGAAATTAAATCTTTCCTCATGCTACTTTGACGGTATAAAATGTGCATGTTCTTATTTTATTTTTTATCATTATTTGAATCTTACATTTTGGTCAGAATATACAAACTGAACATACAAAATAGTGTTCATACGTCCAACATCTAGGCTTAGGCTTTCATTTCTGAGAAGCTTATGGAGCATCAGTCCACCGCACTACTCACTACGGCAGACACGCTGCTGATCGACACCATGTTTTCTTTTACCGTCGAACAACTGGTAAATTAGCTTTTAAAGTGACGCTTTTATTTGTGCCTGCGGAGATCGAACGTAGGTTGTTCGTTTAAATTGAAATTTACGGTGATAACCCCTGAGCTACAAAGACTCCTTCTAGTCTACGCTGTAGTTACGCGAAAATGCAACGCCATTACAAATGTTAAAAAGAAAATAGGACTAGAGATTTATTTTATTCTTAGTTTTTTTTTCAGTTTTATTCCGCTTACGTGTTACGCAATACACAAAGCGCCTGATTAAATATATGAGCAAAATTGTATATCCTCTCATTTTCTGTCAAATATAAATTAGGCCGGCAGTAGTTACACAATTTATTTTAAATATTCTTTTCATTTGGTTATACGTGTTTATAACATTTGTTACCATACTGAAATAAAAAAAACTATAAACTTGCATTATCATACAGTCCTACAGCCCGTGGTGAAGTGTCAAGAACGCTAGTTGCGTTTCCTCTATGAATAGCCCTCTTGTCAGCAGCAGTAACGTGTTACTATATTAGTGTAATTTATATCAGAAGTTAACTGATTCAATAACAGCGATAAAATACTATTTAAAGAGAAAATATTATATTCTTTTATGTTTATGTTCAATCACTATTATACACTCATTAAGTACTATTGCCTAATTGATAAATCTCAACGATAAATAAAAACATATCCGTCCGTGGTTTTTGTTTCATAATTCTTTGGTCTTTTATGTTTATTTCGCGACGTCGCGTCGTTTTCATAAACTCTGCCAAATGAAATATTTTATAGCAATATAAATCCTTTTATCCACTGCGGAATATAGACGTCTCTCAAGGAACGCCACAAAGTATCATTCAAAACTAATCATTTAAAACAAGATTTAAAATAAAATATATCATTATCGCCTGCAGGGATCTGGCAGTCGGCAATATTTTAGTGGATAGTGCAGGAATACTGAAAGTGGCAGACTTCGGCCTCTCTCGATCTGGAGTGTACGTACAGACTCGGGCTAGACCGGTGCCGCTGCGCTGGTTAGCACCAGAGGCAATCTTCCACGCACAATACTGCAGCGCGAGTGATGTGTGGGCCTTCGCTGTGCTGCTATGGCAGATAGCTACACTAGGTAAGAACAAATACCACCCACATCGGAAATGAAATTAATTTGATACAAAAAATTTACGTTATTTTGGCAAAACCTAAATGAGAAATAGCGACGTTTTCTTCTATAGCTGTTGACTAGCTTCAGTCAACTGCTCTCACAGCATGAAACAGAAACGCCATCTTGATATTTTACCGTGGTAAATTTAATGAATCCATGGTAAAAGTTGTTGGACGGCATTGCCATGAAGTACTGGCTTGTAGCATGCATAAATAAGAACATAAAATCCGTAAAATTATTTTTATTTAAAGAACAATAAAACTATTAAAATAATTTGGAAAATCCAAAAGTGCACACTGTGACAGCGTCGTCCTTCCTTGGTAGATCCAAGCAATTTGTGCTACTACCACGTAAATAGTTATATTAATATCCAATTTCAGGCGGCTTTCCATATGCAGTGCTGAGCAATCATAAAGTACCAACATTCCTGACGAGCGGCGGTCGACTGCCGAAACCAGCGCGTGCCTCTGCTCGACTCTACCAGTTAATGACCGAATGCTGGTCGGAGAACCCCCATGATCGTCCAACGTTCGCCCTCATAGTGGAGAAGCTTACTGCTCAGAGGGAACTCTACGTGGACCTCGACTGCCTTTACCCAGCATCCGAAGACCACCTGACCCCGTTGAGTGACTACTTTAGCACGGCGAGTGTTGACAGTGAAACCTTCCGGTGACCTTCAAAAGACTGATTTCTATTTATTATTATTTATTACAGTATCACATTAAATGTATTTAAATTTTAACATATTTACTGTCTGATCCCCCCGTGACCATGGGTGCTGGAAAGCACCCGAAACGTCGGGTATTAAAATTAATATAAATAAAACGCGATAAAATCCGTAAAAGTAGTTTTAATCAATATTTACTGTTTTATTTAAAAACCATAATATGTGAATGTATATTGTTTACATGCGAGCAAACTAAATTAAGAACTAAACTAGGCATCGAATTTCTGAAGTTTTGATAGATAATTTACGTGGTAGAGTCGTGGTGTAGCTATAATATGGCTGCAGCGCCAATGGACTTGGAAGGACCACGTTTTCACAAAATATCTGTGTAAAATAGCTGCTTAATGTTATAGTGTTTCGTCTGATGAGGGTGGAAAACCGAATGGGTCCTCGGGTTATTTATTGAAAACCAGGCATTCCACGAATCATGTAATTATAAACAAGTTACTCCAGTGCGCGGACTTCACGTATCCCCAAAATATTTTTGTTTTCAGACATGCATGCATACAGTTCCTCTACGATGTTTTTGTCTTGAACGCAAAGCAAGGTGTAAATAAGCATGCGGGAATGAACCCAGGTTGCTTGTGTATTGCAAATTTATGGCAAGCGATTGTCTAGCTTATATAGTGGTAAATCAAAAAAAATACTATTCAATAAGTTGGTAGGCATTCAAGTATTATGTAATGCAATTTGGAGAGAGAGCGATCTTGTAAAACGTTACGATGCGTTACAGAGGCCGTAACTTTCAACAGCACGTTAAGTAACATGGTTTTTTAATTTAAATAAAAAACTATCATCTTAAAGTCTCCCAAGTTGGCAACCCTTTTCGTTTATGTTTTACGTGGAATTAATACTTTGACTGTATTGTACGTCATTTTTATTTTGTATTCGTTGTCCGTATTCGTTAGTGTTTACGTAGAGGCGCATTGCAGATTATAGAAAGCCCGAAGATAGCTTGAGCCGAAGCAAGAGAGTGGTGGTGACATGGCAAGACTGCCCAAGACCGTCGTGAAAGTAGAGTACGGCCACAGCGAGTTGCTGTCAGCACGGCAAATGAGCTGCATTACGCTCCACTGTGAAATATCGTCTGAGAATGCCGATTGGCTCGAAATGAAACGAAGTTGATGCAAGTGGTTTAACTGTTCCGGAAGCCTCTTCGGCTGCTCTCCGGGTGCCAGTAATGAAAGAGTCTGAGTGGCTGCAAACCCATGGACAGAAGAACAGTTTTTTTACAAATTTACTTATTTCAATTATTATATCTGATTTTATTTTAAAATTTTGTTAAGTATACGATTTTATTTTGACTTAAATGTTTTATTTCCGTTAGGTTTATAATTGCATTGCCAAAGGTTAAAATAAATATGTTATTTCATTTAAAGAGTTTGCCTATTAACAAAAAACTAAAACAGGAAAATCCATGAGATGAGCAATGTTGGATGAAGCCCAACATGTATGTATAGATAGGGCGAATCAGGAAAACGGTGTAATTAAATGTAAGATTAGTATTAAAAATTTATCAAGACAAATTCAAGCCAATTTTAACATATTTTAAACTCAAGTAAATTTTTATTACGTGCTAATTTTTATTACGTGCTATTGTTCATTAAACAACAATATGAATAAATAAAATAAACAATGTACGCATGTATTGTTAGTTAGTTATATCTTGTTTTATTTATTATTACCGCAAACACGATTTAAACAATAACAAAGGAATTTTAGTGACTTTACGGTACTTTGCGCAACATAATTGTGACTTTTAGGAAAACTGGTCACTTGGATGTTCCATAACGTTTAGTAATAAATGAGTCCTAGATACTTGAAATTAAATAACTAAAATAAAAATAATAATAATAGTCTAATTCGTTGATTAAATTACATCCAGGTTTCGAATATATAGCACAACTTTCGTTTAATGTCATAACTAGTTATGAAAAGTTTCCAAATAAAATAAATTTATTTTTATTTCTCTAACCCCTAATCTCTCTGACCCGTCCAAGTAGTACTCGGCGTTTTTTTTCTGAAAAATAATTGTTCACGTGGGTAGTTGCCTCCTCATTTGACGAAAATCTCTGTCCTACTAGAGCAACTTTTTGATGAGGGAACTAAAACACGTCGCTTGGGTCTAGATCTGATGAGTAAGGCAGATGATAAAGCATTTCAAACCGTAATTCGTGGATTTTGGATGGCAACCCCTGAGTTGTGAGAGCGCGTTGTAAATTTTTTCACATTTTCACAGGATTTTCTTTTTTTATATATGATTGAGTGACAAACGAGCACACAGTCCACCTGATGGTAAATGGTTGCTGTGGTCCATAGATATCTATCCTCGATTACGAATCAAAATGCAGATGAGTTGTCACCCGTTAGAACTAAGATGGAATGCCTCGTTTCCAGTAAAAAGCGTATCCGGTTCTTTAAACTCACTGTACGAAACACGGCAGCATTAAGCTACTATTTTACGCCGGTATTCTGTGAGAGCGTGGTCCTTCCCCGGTCGAGCCGACCCATTCGTGCTACAACTATACTACTAATATAACTATAGCATGGCTCTACCACGTATAAATTTTTTCCGCAAATGTGGCCGTTTTTCCATAATTTCTGCCTTCAGTTTGTCAAGTAATGATGATCAAAGGGGAAACCATTACAGTAGCATACTATGCTACTGCAATGGTTTCACCTTTGAATATAATCGCTTAAGACTCCTGTCCAAGAGTAAGTCAGGATAGGATACCGCCTTCTCACCAGATCCTGTCTCAAAAGAGCAATCCTTGCACAGTTGTGCTCCAGTCTGTGAAATTTAAAAGCATTATGTGCTTTTTTAACGTTAAATTAAGTTATTTTAAAAAGTTTCAAGTCTCAAGCTCGTCGGGAAGTTAGATTAATATCTATGACATAATACGACCCAAACATACATACACGAAGCAAGTTCATAAAAACTATAAATACTATTTCCGAAAGGCTGTGTATATATTGTCGGTGTGCATCACATTCCAAAATAAATACCATCAGCAGTCTTGTACAACATATATAGTTTTTTCGAAGTTGAAGTTTCGCTAATAGAAAAACCACGGTTAATTTAAATTGTTAAATTAATTTCGACTTATTCATTTGCCATTACATGCCATTGTCGTCGACAGTTTCCTTATCAACGTACATGTGGCGTGAATAAAAAGGATAAAATATTATTATTGCATTTTGGAAAAGTATTTTTAAAGCAAAAAAGTAAGAATTTTATTAATTAATTATTATACGTGTAATTATTCCTAAATCCTAATAGTTTGTAGCCTAAGCGACCGCCAAAACCGTAGGCGTGCAACCCAATTTTAAATGCCGATTTACTCCCCACCAGCTGATTTCTTTAAGAAGGGCAACAATAAACTACAAAGAGGCAAAAGGGCATCAACTATATCGGTGATTACTTTGATTAATAGAAATAAAAAATATAGAAATAAACCACGTTACATTATTGCATAAAAATTGCATAAAATGCTCCGTCCCCCTCGTGCGCTAATCCAGGGTCCCGGAAACTTTCAGCTCGAATTACAAGATCGTTTTCAGTGCCTAGAAGACTGCAATACAGTGGACGATATGAATGACAAGCTCGTGAAAACTGTCCGTACTATTGGAGCCAAGTTCTGCAAAACCTGCCGTAGAAGAACATTAAAACTCTCCGATCACACTCTTAAGCTCGTGGATGTTAGACAGGAGATGAAGCTGTAGTCTTATGCAGATTTGATAGCATACAGGAAGCTGAACAGACAGATCACCAAAAGCTTGCGGCAGGAGTTACGCAACTTCAATACAGCTAGTATTGAAAAAGCGATTGAGTGGAACCAGGGTTCCAAAGTCTTTGCCAAAGATCTGTCTGCCAGAAAGAGCCAACTGACAAGGCTGAAGACTCAGTGTGGCAACATCGTTTCCGGGACACCTGAGATTTTAAATGAGAACGACAGGTTCTATGGGCAGCTGTATATCATCGTTGGAGCCACACGCAAGTGTGAGTAACTATTCAAGAGCGAGTCTTATCTGACACTATTCTGATGAAATCCCGGACGTCGGTCTGAGCGAGATTATAATCGCTCTCCAGCATCTTAAAAATGGCAGGTTAAAAAGGGCGAGGATAGATTTACAGCGGAGCTTCTGAAAACGGGTGGAAAACTGGTACTTGAAGTCCTTCAGAAGCTCTTTAATTCCGTCCTCCATGAAGGCACTACTCACGGGGTGTGGAGCAGAATTGCGGTGGTCCTGTTTTTTAAGAAAGGTGACAATGCTCTCTTGAAGAATTACAGATCGATATCCCTTCTGAACCGCGTCTACGTGCTGTTTTCAAGAGTCATTACGAAGCATCTCGCAAGCAGACTCTACGACTTCCAGCCTCCCGAAAAAGTCGGTTTCCGAAAAGTCTTTAGCACCATAGACCACATACATACCCTTCGACAAATTGTACAGAAGTCCAAAGAGTACAATCTGTCACTTTTCCTGGCGTATGTGGACTATGAGAAAGCCTTTGATTCCGTCGAAATTTGGGCAGTGCTACAGTCTCTTCAGGGGTGCCAAGTTGACTGTCAGTATATCGAAGTGCTGAAGTGTTTGTACAGTAGGGCTACGATAGCAATCCGAGTACAGAACCGGAGTAGACCTATACAACCAAATAAGGTAAGACAAGGTGACGTTATATCCCCGAAACTCTTCACCGCTGCATTGGAAGACGTTTTCAAGCTACTGGACTGGAAAGGATACGGTATTAACATCAATGGCGAGTACATCACTCACCTTCGATTTGCCGACGATGTAGTCCTTATGGCAGAATCGCTGGAGGACCTAAGCACTATGCTCAATGACCTCAGTAGTGCCTCCCAATGGATAGTTCTTAAGATGAACATGGACAATACAAAGATCGTGTTTTATGTCCATGTCACATCTATGCCCGTAGTTGTTAGGAACACTAAGCTCAAAATTGTTGACGAGTACGTTTAGCTGAGGCAAATAGTCCGACTAGGTAAGTCCAACTCCGAGCGAGAGGTCAATCGACGGATTCAACTCGGCTGGCTGCTGAAATTACGACACATCTCGTCCGGTATACCTCAAAACCTGAAAACTAAATTACCACCTCGTACCAGTAGGCGAAGTGTAGGGCGACCCCCCACTAGATGGAGTGACAAACTGGTAATACATGCAGGAAGTCGATGGATGCAGGTGGTTTAGGACCGAGCTTTGTGACATATCTTGGAGGAGGCCTATGTTCAGCAGTGAACTTGTGAAGGGCTGTAATGATGATGATGATGATGATGATGATGATTGCATAAAAATACAAGACAATTTCATAGGTAAAGACCAAATATAATTTATAATCCGATGATAATTATATTTTAGGCATATCAATAATTTAAAATAAATATTGTGAAACTAATAATGACAAAAATAAAACTGAAGTGTCGCCAAGTTAGTGACAACAATCTCAAGTACAAATTATTAAGCGTCGTGAGCCTAATTAAAATGGGGAAAGCAGCAGACTCTTACCCCCAAACCCTTCCATAACTTAGAAATGAATATATTCAGTGAATCAGTGTGACCAACGTAGCCGGACTGGTTATTAAACTAAAGTGCAATGGCAAAGAACAGACAACCCATGGGGAAGAAAGACAAGAGGAAAGAGTGGCAGTCCTGTGTCAATAAGCGAAGTGTAGGGCGCCCCCCCCCCACTAGATGGTATGTTGATATATATTATGATGATATTTATACGTGGTAGAGCCATGCTGCAGTTATATTAGTAGTATAGTTGTAGCACGAGGCTCGACTATGGAAGGACCATGCTATCACAAAATACCAGCATAAAGTAGTAGCTTAATGCTGCTGTGTTTCGTATGGTGAGTGTAGTGAACCGGAGACTCTTTTTACTTTAAATGAGGCATTCCATCTTATTCCTCACTGGTGACAACGCATCTGCATTTTGATTCGTAATCGAGGATAGACATGTAGATGTCTATGGGCCACAGCAATCACTTACCATCAGGATATGGATTGTGTGCTCGTTTGTCACCCTATCCTTTTAATAAAAAGATGGAGTGACGACCTCGTAAGACACACGGAAGTCAATGGATGCAGGTGGCTCGGAATCGTGCCTTGTAGCGTACCGTCGGGGAGAACTATGTTCAGCAGTGGACTTTTGAAGGGCGGTAATGATGATGATGATGAACCCTTCTATACAGCGTGTAATAATAAATATTCCATAATAATCTTGCGGCTTTCGATAAACGATGGTATGACCGTCTTGCTAACGTCAGTCGTAAATACTTATATAGGTGATGGGGAACATCTTCTAAGGTATTATACGTTTGGAATAATGGTCGGCACTCTGCCTGTCAAGCGTGGCAAGGCAAATCCCCCGTACAATGGGATAGAACCTATCTCAGCAATATACTCTTACTGGCTCATCAAGAAAAAATAGAAAGAAAAGACCTTCCAGAAATGATTCCTGAAAAGCTGCTGAAAGCTGAAAAGCCCATTTTACAAGTAGAAGTTTCTCACAGATTTTATTGCAATTTACTAGCTGTACCCAGCTACACGTTGCTGTGCTGCTTTAAATTAATAATAAGGAAAAAAACTCCGGGTTTTACTGAGACGTTGCCTTCTACCAGCAGTGGGTCATGTGCAAACTCCTCCTTTACTACACCTTCTTAACGAAGATTTATTGACATAATACTTTACTCAAAAGTACACATTATATTTAAAAAACAATTGAGTTCCATTTTTGACTTACATTTTATTACTTTGTTATTCTATTAATGCCTGTTCTTTTCAGTGAATTTGAATATAATTTTCGAAGTCTTGACACTAGTATTTTATATAACCAGTTCCCAAACTTTTGACATGATGCACAAGTCTAGAGATGATCCTCTCATATTCATTGCAAATCCTGTTGAAGCAGACATGCCAGGCCATTGGGTTCCATTAAGTATAGTAAAAGTTATATTGGAGAGAAGCACCGCAAAGCATACCCAGTACTCGTTACTTCAAACAAAATTTACAAGCTTAAAAACGGCTCAGCCATCGTTTAGCCCGCCGACAACTCCGTCGCCCACCTTGTCAACAACTGTCAAAGTAAAAACGACCGGAAGCACTAAAGTTTCAATTAAGCAGCATACCAAACTTCAAACCGAAGCACCAACTGCAGCGCCTGTCAAGCTTACCGAACCATCGACCACTGAAGCACCTACTACACCCACCATTGAAACACCTACTACGCCCACCACTGAAGCACCTACTACACCCACCACTGAAGCACCTACTACACCCACCACTGAAGCACCTACTACACCCACCACTGAAGCACCTACTACACTTACCACTGAAGAACCTACTACACCCACCACTGAAACACCTACTGCACTCAGCACTGAAGCAACTACTGCACCCACCACTGAAGCCACCACTGAAGGACCTACTACATCCACCACTGAAGCACCTACTACACCCACCACTGAAGCACCTACTACACCCACCACTGAAGCACCTACTACGCCCACCACTAAAGCAACTACTACACCCACCACTGCAGCACCTGCTACACCCACCACTGCAGCACCTACTAGACCCAACACTGAAGCACCTACTACGCCTACCACTAAAACATCTACTGAACCGGCAACACCACCCCCACCAACGATAACGGCAAAGAACACGCACAAAAATATCATAGTCAGGAGAAGCGACTAATATTTGCACCACTTACTTAGTTTGAATAAAAATACTTTTGATGGAGCGGGTTTCAGCTGAAAGGCTTGATTTTTAAAATATTTTTTTATATGTCACAAAATAAAGTTGTGAGCTTTTTTTACTTTTATTGGCGTTAATTATTGCTGCAGGTTTATTAATGTTTATAAAGTAACTTAAACCTTTAATTAAAAAACTTCAGAACTGAAATTCGATTACGACGGTCAGTCTCAACACAAACTAGCCATTTGTACAGGACGCTGTATAAATGTCACAGTATGCGTGTGTTTTACGCGCGTATTAGTTACATACATACACGAGGTAGAGCCGTGCTGCAGCTATATTATGACTGTGGCACAAATGGTTCGTCTCGACCGGGAAAAGACCACGCTCAGGATACCAGCGTAAAATAGCACCTTAATACAGCTATGTTTTGTACGGCGAGTGCAGAGAAACGAGGCATTCAATCTTAGTTTTCGGGGGCGGCAACGGATCTGTCGATCAAAGTGTAATTAATAATCTTTTAAAATTGAATAATAACGGATTTTTTGATAATCCTACCTAACTTAATCGAGGATTAATGTAGATGTCTATAGGCCACAGCATCTACTCAAGTGTCATAAAAACAATCCAGTGTCGTTAGCTGTCTAACAAAAGTTGTAATGATAACGGTTTTTTTTTTTTGATAATCCTACCTAACTTAATCGAGGATTAATGTAAATTTCTATGGGCCACAGCATCTATTCAAGTGTCATAAAAACAATCAGGTGTCGTTAGAAGTCTAACAAAGTTTTAAAGGAAGTAGAAAGGAAGGTTACCTTCCAAATTCGACTTACGCAATTATGAAACATGATGAAATCTCTTTATTTATCAACGTACTGAAGTTTTATTAAAAGTTTCGTTTGCCAGCATCAAATTAATTAGAATATATCCTTTGATCAACATGAAGTATTAATGATCCATTTTGTTTGTTGGATGTGTTCATCTCACAGCACACCAAAATGAGCCATTTTAGTGAAAAGCCGAAAAAAAATTTTTGGGAACATAAAGCTTGAGAAATAGCACTGTACACAGTAGAAATAACACTGTAAGCTTATCACAACTTAGCATACATTGATTTTAATATCGTTTCATATATTTTGTTTTTAATGCTTTACTCTTTTTATGTCTAGGATGCCGTATCTTGGTAAGATCTCTTTTAGCTATTACTGGCCCCAAGCAGTAGCGCATGATTTCGATATTGTCGTGTTTCTACTAGTATAATTACAGACTGTGAGATATTTTATTTCAGAATTCAGTGTTACAACACATCATTCGCTTCTTATGTCTGTAATTGGTTACAGGTTTATAGGGGCTCTAAAAGCTACTTACGTTTGCCTCTCTAATATAATTCAAAATTTTTTAATTTATTATTACACATTGTAGAATATTTATTTATTTCTTCTGTATTTCTTACTCCCCAATGAACACTATTATAATTGGATTTTATAGCACAGTTTTTTTACTCTAATAACGTGTAGCAGCGCTGTCGTCGCGCCACTAGCACACCGAAACACATCGAAGCCTAAATCGCGCTATTAACATTCCGAATCATAGACAGTATATATAGAACTTCTCCGAACTATCACTCGGAGTGTCGGCCGCTCCCCGGGCAAAACACCTTGCCCGGCGGGAGATCTCCCCTTTTCCTACTACGGCCACAGTGGTGACCACCCGACGTGATCTGAACACGCAACCAACAACCTTCGGAAACTTCAAGCTTCATCATCGTCATAGAATACCCCACTCATTCGCTCCCGAGCAGATATCGTCTGCAGTCTACGTATCCTGCAAGCCATCTAGCTTCACAAGGTTCATCGCAGCACTGGAATAATAATGATTCCTGTTCCTTCAAGCTACTCTTTGCGCTACAGTGTTCGGCACGGCTCTGAGCCTTACCGCTCGCCTCTGCTTCACGGCACTCTCGCAGATTACTTGCCTTCTTCTCGACTCACCGCAGACTACAAGGCAATCTCCTGGCACTTGCACATTCGTCGACAACGAGACTTCACTATCGACCTCCAGTCTGAGCAGGGGGGTGATGTAGCGGCGCTGTCGTCGCGCCACTAGCACACCGAAACACACCGAAGCCTAAATCGCGCTATTAACATTCCGAATCATAGACAGTATATATAGAACTTCTCCGAACTATCACTCGGAGTGTCGGCCGCTCCCCGGGCAAAACACCTTGCTCGGCAGGAGATCTCCCCTTTTCCTTCTACGGCCACAAACGGATAAGTTACATTCTAATTTTAATGGAAAATTTTCTGACCAATAAGAGTCGCGGATAACCTCAACGCTTACAACGGTTTTTGCAGCCGATTGTGTAACAATACAGTGGTCTAACCAACGCTTACACCGTGTGAGTCACTTATGAATGTAAACGTAGGCGATGACATGCCCAAATAATCAATATCCGCACATAATTAGTCTTGTTCTGTACAAAAACTAAAAAGTTCATTACAAAATAACTCACCCGGGTGCGCATTGAAGTCCCCCAATACAAACACTGATTCTATATTACTATTTTGTATTATATAATACATTTCACTGAGACATTCTGTAAAATGTGGTAAGTTTTCACTGCAGTTAGTTGGCATGTACATATTTATAACCATAAAACTTCGGTTATTCACCTCCCTTTTAACAGAACAAATCCGATTGCTCTCACTTTGCTCCACACTCACGTAACTAAATGCACTTTTTCGCCATAGTATGGAAAGACCTCCGTATGGTCTGCCTTTGCAAATACCTGCAGAAGTGTCCACTGAAAACTTGGCCGTATAACTGAATTCTTGATCTATATTTTCTAGAAAGGATAGATCATGTGGATATAACCACGTCTCTTGTAATAAAATAATATCAGCCGTCCCGCACAGTGAACGTACACAGTTCACGGATCTTTTCACATTTTTACAATTAAATGTTACTATAAATAATTTTGATTCACTATCCATTTTTTTGTATATTTGTTACGCCACCACTCAGAGACATGTTATTACCGTCTCCTATTCTGTTTCTAAAATGTATAAACCGTCGAAATTTGATCCCATCAGGCTACATTTGATCGTCTATAAATATGTCCAGCTTATTTTTATTTATATATAGTATAAAGGCATTGTATGGCCGTTATTTTATCATTGTAATTTTCTCAAGTGAAACTGTTTCGGAGGTTTTATTTTTAATGTATTCGCAAATATCCTTTTCCGCTGTCTCGTTGTTTACATTGGATATAAACAAGAGGACTTTTATATCTGCCGCTTTAAACTTTTCAGAGAGGTCCGTTACTGCTTTCCCCGTTTTTCCTGCAAACCGATTTCTATACCTTCTTTTTTGAACAGTTGGTTTATTTTGTGTTTTACCACTATCCATTACTTACAAATTGCGCCATAGTAGGCTGTTTAGTTTCACTCGTCAATTTAGCGCATACAGGTTATTCAGAAACCGCCGTGCACATTTCGTTATCCAATAATGTCGAATTAATCAGTGCGGCCGCACTTGACTTCTCTGCCTCGTTAGCGCGAACGAGTGAGCGATATTTGGACCGTTCTCTATGCTGTGAACTCGAGTGCCTCGACAATGATTCATTGCCCGCTGGTGATAAACCGACCGGTCCACTATCAAGCATGTACCCTCTTCTTTTATTTATGTTAATATTACCGGTTAAAAATGATGCCACTGGCCTATTTGATTCCAAATCCTTCTTCAACTCATCCAATTGATTCACCGTGGCATAATTGTTTTTTATATCACTGATTTCATTACGCATAATCAGCAAGTCTTTTAACAATTTAGTCACATCAACATGATCAAATGTAACAGGCGGTAATGTTTGTAGGTCACGCGCCACAAAGACTGGCATAAGATCGGGTTCAGTCACTTTAAAAACACATATTGTGTCCTCTAAATTTCTTTGCTTTTCGCCTTGTTTTCGCCTGGATACTTTTTTCTAAATATTTTTTATCGAACTAAACAGCAAGTCCTTAGAATATTCTATCTCCTCCTCCGAAAACGCAGTGGCACAAATCCTAATTAAACTTTCATTATCCATCACTGTGATCTTATTTTGGATAAATGATAATAGTTCACATATAACTATATTACAATTCACACATTTTAGTGTATTCACAGTTTCTACAGACATTTTGACGGAGTAACCGTTTTTAACCCACTCGCGAATGCGTGTTGAGTGCGACTGAAAACCAATTCATGATTCTAAATAAACAAAATCCAAAATCAAAGGCAGAGTCTAAATATTTATAAATAAAGGAATACCAACCATATCAACAAAACCGATCCAAGAAAATACACAAATCCGAAAATGAAAGCCAATATAAATCCATTCAACCTTAACCAAATCACAAAGCAAGTAACAAACAACTGAAATTGAAAGCAGGTAGTCGAATAAGCTACGAAATAGAAACAATTTAAGCGTATAGGTACCGTATGCACTATAAGTTGACGCGCGGCTCAACGGCGGGAGTTAAGTACATGTCAGGAAACATTTCGTTACCGCGTTTTAAAAACCTAGTAACGACATCTAGCGAAATCAATTTAAACTATGTATACTTTAGTTAATAAGAACTCTCAAAAACTATTTTTCTTATAATTTTGCACAATTTTTCTTATTGTAATACCGATTCATTCATAACCACATATAAGAACTGTATTCATTTCCGTTCAATAAATATTACTAAGGCTTATTAATAAGGCTTACTAAGAACTGTTTCTACCACAGTTAAGTAATAGTTAAGAGTGAAAGCGTGACAGGTGGTGATAGTATTTCTGATCCATACGTAACCTTTGCGGGGTAGGCAGAGCATCAACGGATTACTTAATATCGTCTGCGAGGTTATCGCCTATTCTGTGAATTACAATGCACCAAAACGTTTGAAGAAAATCAGCTGGTGAATTTTATGTTTTTTATCGCTCTCTTCCTGGTCCTGCGTAGAAAAATACAGATCCATACATTTTTTATCTTAATTTTGGTAAAAACACATAATAATATAGCGCCAGATATTCTGACCTTCTGTGTTCGTCCGTCGTACCGTCGTCAGTCTTGTAGAGTCACGGTGGCGCCACCTAGCTGAATTTAATTTTGCAACATATTCGATTTTCTCACGGGAATGATATGTTTTTCCGCTGAAAAAAGTAGCCTATGTCACTTTACAGCCACCGAACTATCCCCATACAAAAAATCATGCCATGCCGACGCTCTGTTGCGACGTGAAAGAAGGACAAACTTGTGCAACATATTCGATTTTCCCACGGGAATGAGATGTTTTTCCGCGGAAAAAGTAGCCTATGTCACTCTACTGCCACCGAACTATCACCATACCAAAATTTATGCTATGCCGACGCTCTGTTGCGACGTGAAAGAAGGACAAACTTTTTCAACATATTCTATTTACCCAAGGGAATGAGATGTTTTTCCGCGGCAAAAAGTAGCCTATGTCACTCTACAGCCACCGAACTATCCCCATACAAAAAATCATGCATTCTGTTGCGACGTGAAAGAAGGACAAACAAACAAACAAACACACTTTCGCGTTTATAATATTAGTAGTAAGTATGGATTTGAGAAAAAGGAAGTAATTTGTCGAATTTCTACACCAGATAGCTAACTCACTCTAATGAAATTATTGCTCGAGGGTAATCAGAGATCAGACAAGCACAAGTACTCTGTGAATAACACATTATATGTATACAAAATCTACAAGGGTGTCCCGTCACGGTTCTCTGAACCATGTTACACGAAGTGCTCTTATCTCTATATACTATTTATTATTGTCACGAGCTTAGGATTCGTGACAGTAAAAACTGCCGATTGAATTACCAAAATTGTCACTTTAATTACCTAACACCAACTACAACTACTTAAAACACACTGATATTTAATCACACTTAACATTTTAGTTCGCAGTTATATCGCTTCGAAGTATACGCTTGATCGCCTTCTTTCATTATTCCTGGCCAGCATTGTGTAGATGGCTGGCCAGGAATAATGAAAGAAGACGCTCTAGGTAGAGTGTACACGGTTCATCTGAATAACATGAAGTGTTACCATCTTCGCTTAAATCTGCACGCCTTTGGTGACTTGAAGACTGTCACTAGTGTCCTCCAACAAACTTTTCAATTAGCTTGCATGAAATTTGGCTTGCTAGAGGACGACAAATATTGGGATTCTGCCCGAGAGGAAGCAGTCTTATGCGAGTCAGTATTATGTCACATTACAGATGAACTAAGTCTTTAGATAAAATACATGAATAGCCTATAAGGAGACAACAAACGACAAGTGGAAATGCTTTCTGGCGATATAGATAAACATCAAGCAGATGAAATGTAAAATAAATGTCCGATCACAATAGGAGAAATTGTATTAGCATTAGAAGGACAAAGCTTACAGCACTACATGTTGCCTCAGCCTCAAAGGTCTGAAGGCTTACACAATAACCGGGAGTACTTGAAGGAAACAAGTTAAGAGGTCAATTCCTTAGTAGAACTGGTGTCAACTAGTGAAGGCTCTCTAGCCAATGAACAAAGGCATATCTATTATAAAATACTTTCCTCTTTCGACGCAGGTGTAGGGGAAATCTTTTTTTTAGGTGCTCCTGGTGGAACAGGTGAGACTTTTCTATTAAATTAAATAAAAAATTAAAATAAAAAAATTAAAAATTATCGCCCTATTCTTTATATATATTCTTTCTTGCTATTCCAAACTATTTGAAAGTCTTGTGCACCCAGTTCTTGCCAAACACTATGATAATTTTCTTACCAGCTCGCAGCATGGATTCAGAAGTTGATTGTCAGTTCAAACTAATTTGTGTAAGTTTACTTCTGATCTTCTAAAAGAGGTAGACAAAGGCCAAGAAATTAACGCCATATACACAGACTTTAGCAGTGCATTCGCCAAGGTTGACCACAAGCAACTCATTAACAAACTTTCTCTGTATGGTATTGGTCCTTCTTTGATTGGATGGTTTATATCTTATTTGGAGAAAAGATCTCAAATTGTAATTGTCAATGGATTTGAATCCAAACAGTATCAAGCTCAATCTGGGGTGCCTCAAGGTTCGCATCTGGGCCCTCTATTATTCTTGGCTTATATTAACGACATCACTACTGTAATCAAATTTGTCGTTGCTCGTTATTTGCTGATGATTTAAAAATTTATAAACCAGTAAAATCAGTGGACGATATAAATCTCATACAGGAAGATCTGATTAAAATATCCCATCGGTGTGACGTCAATAGTATGACTCTTAATGCTAACAAATGCTTCCATGTAAAATACACCAGAAAAGTAAACCGCTTGTCTCTAGTTATTGTTAATAAAGCCGCGAAGTTTTTTGGATTTAATAAGCGCAATACAAAGGGATTTTCATCTGGGACTAAAATTATTTTATATAATGCTTTTGTAAGAAGTCTCCTTGAATTCGCTAGTGTCATATGGAATCCATCTTCTAGTGTGCATTCCCAACGCGTTGAAAGTATACAGTGAGCCTTTGCTCGACATCTTGCCTTTCATGCCAGTGGTATCTCACATAGGCAGCCTTACTATCAGCGACTGGA